CAGGGTAAACAGAAATGTGCAAAAAACTGAAGTCACACTGTGGGTAAATCTACACTGGGTCTGGGAGTACATCTCCCAGGACAGGTCCATAGACTTGCGCTAGCAAAGCTCACACAAGCTCATTAAAAATATCTGGGCAGACATTTCAGCTAGGGCTCAAGCTCAGCTTTTCAAGCTGCCCCTCCACAAGGCTAGAACACACAAAATCTACTAGGCTGGGCCTCCCTAGGCTCTGATGTGAGCAAGTGTCTTTCTCCTTCTCACTCAGGGGCTCATGTCAGTGAGGGGGGTTGTTGTTTATTTTTGCTTCTCATTTGTGCATGGCCCCCTGATTTTTTGTGGGTCAGTGGCTCCTGAACCAAAAAAGGTTCCCCACCCCTGCTTTATGCAAATGAACATGTGTTCTCCAATGAGAGTGTAGATTTCCGTCGTCAGCCATCAGCAGTAAAATTCTGTCCCTCTTCCTTCTCCATACTTTACCCTACCAGGGACTATTATCTATCTTTAAAGACTGAGTCCTGATCATATCAACACAAGAAGTGTGCATAAACTACTTCCATCTGGGGTGTAATTTAGTTTTACCAATATGTACAACCTCTTATGTTAGTACATTATTATATCAATAATAAGGTGCCTAGGCCCCTTCCCATGCAGTATACCTCTATACCAGTGGTCCCCAACGCCGTGCCCGCGGGCGCCATGGCACCCACTGGGGCATTTGTGGGCGCCCGCCGACAACCTGGGCCGGCCGGCACACTGCTGGCCCCAGGCACGCGGCGGCGCCGACCCCAGGCCCACGGTGCTCGGGCGGCCCCGGCCCTGGCGCACATGCCAGCGCTGGGTGCAAGGGCATCCCCGCCCCTGGCGTACCCCCCGGGCTCCCGGCACGTGAATGGCCCCGCCCCTCGGGCACCCAGGAGCCTCTAAAGGTTGGGGACCACTGCTCTATACCATCATAACTGTGTATACTGTACACCAGGAAGGTTATATTGTTGTAATTTGTGTGTGTAGATGAGCCCTAAGCCATTGGCATCTTAACAAAACATGCTTGACAAACTAAAGTTTTAGTTTTTAAAACTTACTTGGGCTTGAAAAAAAACAAAACTTTTAGAAGATTTTCTGGATCCTTGCTCATGAACTTCTTTCTAAAGAACTGGTGGTTCCAGTTACTTCAGATGTCCTTATACACATATAGAAGAAAAAGGGCTACCTGAATATTAGTATTCAAAATAGTTCAGCAAGAATTTGAATGGAAATACACAACATAACTGGGTAAATTGGTCATAAGAGAAAAAAACCAAACCACAAATAAAAAGAACATTAGAAGAATCACTTCATTAACCACAAGGCAGTCTTTGTGACCTCATGTCCATTTTCACAGGTTTTATAGTCCTCCTTTCAATAAGATCATTTCATTAGTCTGTTTCACCACAGCACAAGAGAGTTCCTTATTCACATTTTACACATATTTCTCTAAAAATGGGCTTCAATGCTTTACTACTTGGAAAGCAGCTTACCTAAACGGCATCTTGTTCTGATCTGACTGAACTTGTAGGCTCTTCAATCTTCCAGTAATATTCTATTGATTTTCTAGTGCTTTCCATAACCTCTCACAAATCCCACAAATCCATTCTAATCTGTAGTCATCACAGATAACTACAGCTGGATGAAAAAACCCAAACAAACCCCACAACCCTACTTTCTCTTAATTAGCAGAGATCATACATGAGCCAGTGGTGATTCCACACAAGTCAAACTAGACAGCAACAATTAAGTCTACCACCATCAAAATACCAACCATTAACATAAGACACTGGACGGATACTAGAAAGGATACAGGCAAGAGCCACAAGCAGGATTTGACCATGTGTGCATTGTGAAGCTTTTACTATCAGTACAAACAGCAAGAAGATTTAAGATGTTTAACGTACAAAACAGTTTATTACATCAGAATGTAGCATGCTTCAGAGAAACTATTTACAGGAAAAAAAAGTCTGTGTTTTTTAAATCAGTTGCCTACACTAGTGGAAGTAGTGAGCTAATGACAAGCAGGATTTAAAATTACAGTCAGTTTTAAAATAGGTCTGGTCATATAGCTCAACATCTGACCAAGACACAGTATACCACTCAGTTCTACAGAAACATTTCAACAGATATGCTCAGAGTCACTACTTCTGATAAAGATCACTAGTAGACTGGAAAAAGTGTTAAACTGTTTGCCTGCTTTCATCACTTTGCTGTTGTATTGTGAAGTAAAGCCTGATCATATTTGAACCTCAAACTGTATATAATTCAGCGTTTCCTCCGATCCAATAAGAGATATGGTCATTCCCCATTTCAGGTGCTAGTGACTGTGGAAAAGTGGTTAATCAGGACACATTTTTGCTTCAAAATTTCAATTTTGATTTCTATTCAGTGTTTTAAGTTACACATATAGTGCTCTTTAACTTCTCCAGCACCCATTTTTGAAGCATAACACCACACCACACATGGTTGCTTTGGTGCCCCCATAATGTGGTTTAATTATGATGACTGAACTAATAGGCTCACATCACAGACTTTTACAGGTTGACCCCATGTCATTCTGATGTATCATTTTGCACCAGTTCAGTGCTGTAAATCAATTTAAGATCTCCAGCAGGCTGAAAAGGCTGGTAATGATGCTTTCTCTGCAGTCCCTGAGGACTGCACATTATACACAACTTACATTATTTATAAAGCTGAGATGATGCCTCCATTAGCCTTGTAAGACTACAGAAGTGAAGGCTTTTATGTACACACACAACTTGAACTAGAATATGACAACATCCCAACTTATTACTCAGATGTTTTTTAAAACATGGCTTCAAAATTTCAGTATTTAACTTGCACACGTAGAGAGGCTTCGAATTTAAGGAGAGTCTGTAAAAATCATTCCAGTAATTACAAACTGGAGCAGCAATGTTATCACCTGTCTCTATGTTTCATCCCTTTATTTACTAGTTTGAATTGAACACTAATTTACCATCAACTCTCAAAGATGTGAATTGATAGCCACTACTTACACAGAAACTGCTTATCTAGTTTCTTTTCTCTATGCTATTGGATCAGACGACCTTAAAAAAAATACATAAAATGAAAAGTAGACAATAGCATAAAGAAAAAAGTATATTTGATTACATATCAATGAAATGGAGGGGGTCAAAATAAAGCAAGGACAAATCCCCATCCTTAGAGTAACCTGATCTTTCCTTGAACTGATCCTTATAGGTTCCTGGATCACCCACCTCCAAAGAAATCTCTGTCAAGATCCTAGTTACAGTGTGAAATTAACTACAAATGAGAGACTGAACAGCCACACAGGAATATCAAATTAATTGGTTAAGTATTTTTCATCTAAAAATTAAAAAAAAACTAAAGTCAGCCACTGTAAAGAAATGACAAAAAATGAAGTATTTAGTATTTATAAAAGGTGTAATGAGAATCTTCTACCAACTGCCCAGCACAGAACTCCTATACAGATTGATATTTTTATGTTGCAAGTTGGAACTGGAAGCAAGCCTTCAATACATCTAATGCAGTCATAGACAAGATTAAAATCAGTTTTAACAGCAAGTTTCTTTACAGATTTACTCTCCTTGTTTCACACACTGCATGAAGACATAAAGAAAAGTGGTCTTTCCGGGTTGTTATACTCAGTTCGAAGTTTCATGTTGTGTAATGTACAAAAATCACACACAAGCTAAGTCTTACATACATGGAAGTAGTCAGAGGAAGCAAGGGATGCCAGGTTTTACATGCAGACCTGTCAAACATACCCTTTTACCTAAAATGCTCCATCTGCCAAAAATAAGGATGGATAGGTTTGTTTTTATTTGAAATAATGAAAAAAGGAGAATTAGATGTTTCTGACCATTAAATGCTCCACCCAAGAAAAGCAGAATTGCACCTATTCCATGATGCATTGGTTATTTTTCATAAATATACATACACAAAAAACCCTCTTCCTAAAAGTAAACTATAAATAAGCATACATTCTATGAGCAAACTGCAAAACCAGCCTGCACATCTTCTGTAATTAGATTAACTACTAACAAAAGGACAAATACTACAGTTCTTAATCAAAACTCGGATTGTCTTCATTAAAAACATTAGGGTCTGGCCCAGCTACTTTAAAAAGCACAACTGAACACTTGTACACCGGCATATCGCAGTAAAATTTAAAGATACATATGTAGCTGGATAATCTCATCCTGTCAAACTATAAGTAAATTGAAAATCACGTAGAAGAAAAATCACATGCAGTGAAACCGCTTAATAATCAGAAGAATTTTAAGTGAACTTTCCTTGACCTCTAAACAAATCTTGTTGCAAAAAGTTAAATCCATTAGGAGGAACAAAGACTTGGATTAGCCAAGTCATTAGAGAAATGCCTTCCTCAAATAAAAACAAAGGGCATTTGCCTTGTGTTAGCCAAAGCTTTTCAGAAACTGTTGCAAGTTTCTCCCACTTGGCTTTGAACACAATGGAGCCAGGACAAAAGTCTGAAGCAGCAGGATTTTCTAATGAGAAGGGGAAAAAAGGGAGAGAGGAAGAGGGAAGGAGAGAGCTTTTGGTAGGGCTATTTTCTCTTCCTCCAGTCCAACAAAGAAACTCCCCAGAAACTTTAAACCAAACAAGGCAGCAAAGCAGAAAGCAAAGAAGTCACAGGTTTCTCTCCGGGCTCCCGCAGAGACGCCATCATGCTGGAGAAAAGCCCCTGTCCCCCCCGCAAAAAAAAATCCGTCCCTCCTTGCTCCGTGGTGAAAAGCAGCCCCGACCTGAGCCAGAGACTGGGAATAGCCCGGGGGTGGGGGAAACAAGGCAAAGCGCAGCCACCATTCAAACCACTTCCCTGGCTGCAGCAAGCCCTGCCCGGCCTGGGCCAGCCAGCAAGCCCTAGGACGCGGCGGCGGGGGAAGAAGGGTCCCCGCCCAGGCAGCGGCTTGGGAGAAACCGGCAAAGAAACGCGAAGTTGTTACCGGCGGCGGAGCGGGAAGAAGAGGCGCTGCTGCTGCTCTTACGGTTCCAGCCGCCAGGCAGCCCCGCACTCGCTCTGCCTCTGCGCCTGGATTGATCTGGTCTCACTGGCGTCAGGCAGTCGGAGCCGCCCAGCCTCCACTTACCCCACTGCCAATATAACACACACATACACACCAGCCGGGCGAGGGATCCTCTCCAAATTCCCACCCCCGCCAGCAGCTGCAGCTGCCTTGGGGCCCCTCTGGGTCGTGCTCCTCCTGCATGGCTGGATTAATTCGGTGTGTTAGGAACCGGCTCCTAGGGTTCCGAAATCCGGAACGTGGCTTCTTAAAAAGCACGGGTTAAAAAAAAGTCATATATTTGTGCTACTCTTTTATTTTCCATCGAGGTCTTATGGGTACACACACTTGCTAGTTTTCACATGTCCCCCTGCACACAGGAAGGCTGGTAACTTTTGCATTTATTATTAATTATTATTATTATTTTATTAAAGTTGTTCTCACCACAGTCTCGGGTTCCCAGGAGTTGTGCAATGTCCTCTATGCTCGGGCAGAGATTCCCCGTAGACCTCATGCGGGAAGCAGAGGAAAGTTGGGGAGAGAGAAAGGAGACTGAGCAGCTTGTCTACACGGAGAAATCTCCTGCCATAAATTCAATGTGGGTAATTATCCCACTATTGTAATTTCCCCATGGAAATAAGACCTAAGTATTGTAGATTAGCCTGATTTTTAAATACAGATTAATTAACAAATAACAAGGTTTAAAGGTCCTGATGCTGCCTATACTTTTGCACAGGAGTAATTTTACACTTGTGAGGAGTAGGTGTAATTTTTACACCTGTCCTGGATTACTCACATATATAGAGTTATTCACGGGTGTCAGGCCATGTCTACATTATGGGTGCTACAGAAGCATCCTTACAGGGCCACAAACACACCACTGTAAAACCACAGTGTAGACACAGCATAAGGGGAGAGAACACCTCCTCCCTAAGCAACAGTAGCTAGGCTGACAGAAACATTCTTGCATCAGTCTACAGCAGGGATTAGGTCACGGAAGCTACCAGTGGGGAGAGAACACCTTCTCCCTAAGCAACAGTAGCTAGGCTGACAGAAACATTCTTGCATCAGTCTACAGCAGGGATTAGGTCACGGAAGCTACCAGTGGTCAGGTGTATAATGATTTTTCACCCCACTGAGTGCCTTAGCTATGTCAACCTACATTTTAAGTGCTGACCAGGCCTCTGTATCTGCAGGCACTTCACCTAATTGAGTTGCCCAAGATGGCAAAAGAACCCTGTGGGAGAGGTAGAAACAGAACCTCTAGTTGTCTGGTTCCTAGACCTCTGCCACAAAAATCACTTAATCGGATGTACTTTTACCATGAAAGCACATGAGCCTATACCTTTGTTAGTGTAAGGTGCCACAAGAGTACTCATTATTAAAGTTACAGACTCACACATCTACTCCTCTGAAATATTTAAAGGAATGCCACTTTTCCAAATATGATAAGTGTTCTCAGTTTCTGGGATTCTTACTGTGAGATCAGAATTTACATGCATATTACGATGGATGATTTCTAGTTAAAAATCAGCCTGGCTGCAGATGTTTCATTTGGCTTATTCCACAGACTTCTGTTACACATGGGGGCTTCTACTGATGACAACATTGTGCTGAACTCCCTAGTTTTGCTTCACGTTATCTTTGCCAAATGTTTGCCAGGTGGATAGCCAACAATCCACAGCATTCTCATGAAGTGTTGTTCCATATTGACCAATGGAGAACTTTTTACCTGAATCAAATTAGCTGAAACTATTTTCTTATCAGTCATTTTGTACAGACCAATATATAAATGAATGGAAGTGGTGCATGTTCTAAGAGGAAAAGGGCATTTTTCTCTCTTCAGAAATGAGAATGGATTTTTCACAATTGTAGCTGGAGTTCTGCAATTTCACATTTGATTCCTGCCTGCAGCTTAGTAGCAAAACAATACTGGTAACATTACTGCCATCTCAACCCCCTATGACAACCCACTCGATCATTTATATAGGTTTAAAAAGTTAGAATAGGTGAGGAAGAGATATTAATGAATGTCACACAGACCACCTGCCTGTTACCATTAGTGAATATGAAAGAGGAAAGGCAAGCAACTATGTAAATCTGCTTGGGGAGGATGTCCCATATATGTCAGATAGCATGGAAGAAGGCCACAAAAGAGCTTGTAAGATGCTACCATAACTAGGAGAGCAAAGGGATATAAGAGATTAGATATATAAGGTGAAGCTAAACTATGAAGAGCCTTGAAGTTAAGGGCCACAGATGGTACTAAGACTGACCAGCTTTACTATCTTTTACCAGAAAGCTTTTGATCACAGTATGGAAGTCCACCTGCGTGGATTGTATTGCATAAAATGAACCTATCATTGTTGCCACATTTGCTACTATACCAACAAGAAAAAAGACCTTTAAGGAGGCCCACTGCACTCCTGAACATTCAATTTCTTCCTGAACTAGCCCACTATGATTAAGTAAGATTTATATAGAATAAACATGGAACTGATAACTTTATAAGATTATTAAACACATTTTTCTCTGTTATATTAAATAATACTTCCTCAGCAAATCTAACTGGAGATGACAAAGAGGTCTTTGATCGGCTTGAGTAATCATTCTTCTTTTCTACTGATGGGATTTGGACCAAAATTCATTACTTGTATAAGATTAATGTACCCAATCACAGCAGCCAAGATCCTTATTAATGGTTATAATTGCAAAAGTCTGCAGCTGAAACATAGTACTACACAGAGCTAACCCTTATCTCTCTTACTGTTTTCACTTATTATAGACTCTCTGATGCAAAGAATTCATTTCAGCAATGGTATTTTTGGTAAAGGAATAAGCAATATGGAACAGTAGATTTTATTAGATATGTTGAAGATATATAAATGTTTGCCAGTAAACCTATAGTGTTCCTAGCCAACATATTGAAGCAGTGTAACATTTTTAGAGAATTTTCTGGATTAAATCAGAGCCTCTCCCTCTAGACTTTGCCCAGGGCCATTCAGAGACCTTTGAAGATAATTTAACTTGGTTTTATTCACCACTTTAATTAGAAATATTGGAGTCCATGTAGCCAAAGATTCTTTGGACCTTTTTAAAGTAAGTGATCTCCCTTTAGCCACTCAACTTAAAAAATGTACATAACAAACCTAAACCTATTATTGGTTGTTTGGAAGACACCACAGTATTAAACTTTACTCCCATCTTAATTACCACTTTCCAGTTCTTATAGACTCTGTTCCAACTGCGTCTCATTAACAAAACTGCCGTGCAGTATATTGAAATTCATGTACCCTCGTGTCAGATACAAACTTGAAGATTTTTTTGTTTATCAGAAGAAACTGACAATGGTTTGGCAACACAGGATTTTGGGTCCACGAGTTGACTAGTAAAGAAATGGCTCTGAATATATCCCATATAAATATATGGCTTTCCTTCTACAATGTATTTATACCTTCATTAATCTAATTAACCCACTTATCAAATGATAAAAAGCACTGTGTAAGAGGTATGCATTATTATTTATTACTATTAATATTACTCTTTTCTAAACAAAGTTATTTCCATTTTGGAATGTATGTATGAATCATTCATCAGGCATAACAGCAGGATTACGTGATTAGTGAGTGGAAGGTGAAATGAACAAATTCTAAAGTAGAATTGGAGATTAACTTTATTAATCTGAGCATTGGATAAGGGGCGCTGTTCCTGGCAGAAGGTACTATATAGAAAAAACCCCACAAGAGGGACATTTCTCTCTTATATGGTTAGACACCAAGGAAAGCCATTATGCTTCTGTTGCTCATGACCCAGCTGGATACACATAGAAATCCTGGCAAAATACTCATAATTAAGCCCTACATGTACAGCCACTCCCCGATTTACGAACACACTGACTTACGACCATCCGTACTTACGATCAACCTCCCATTAACCCCATTATAATATTTTTCGAGTTGAGAACCATGTACGTCAAGTTTTTCGAACAGTGCAGGCAGCACGTTTAAGGGTATTTCCGACTTACGACCAAATCGAGTTACGACCAGGTGTTTGGAACGTAAACTGTTCGTAAGTTGGGGACTGCCTGTAATTAAAGATTGTATTATAGGCTGTTTCTAGACTGGCCAGTTTTTCCGGAAAATCAGCCGCTTTTCTGGAAAAACTTGCCAGCTGTCTACACTGGCCACTTGAATTTCCACAAAAGCACTGACTTCCTACTGTAAAAATCAGTGCTTTTTGCGGAAATACTATGCTGCTCCCATTCGTGCAAAAGTCCCTTTTGCACAAAAGGGCCAGTGTAGACAGCTGAGATTTGTTTTCCGCAAAAAAGCCGCAATCACGAAAATGGCGATCGGGGCTTTTTTTGCGGAAAAGCGTGTCTAGATTGGCCATGGTCGCTTTTCCGCAAAAAGTGCTTTTGCGGAAAAGCGTCCGAGCCAATCTAGACACTCTGTTCCGAAAATGCTTTTAACGGAAAACTTTTCCGTTAAAAGCATTTCCGGAAAATCATGCCAGTCTAGACATAGCCATAGTGTATATACACCAGGGGGATGAATTAAGGCTGCTCAAGACAAGCTAATTCTAGCATTTTGCAATTGTTGAGTATGTTCAGTAGTTGAACTTGTGACTTTAAGAAAGTTACTTAATTATAGGTTTAGGGGTTTTGTTTCGGTGTATAAACAATACATAATGTATAGATGAAATTTACATTTAGTATTATTCTACTTGCCTCTCAACAGTTTGTATTCTGTGTAATAAAAGAAATCAACATCCAAATATAGAAAAACATCCAAATATTGCAGTTGGTATTCTATTGTTTAACACCATGGTTAATTTTTATCACAATTAATTTTTGAGTTAATCATGAGTTAACTGTGACTAATTAAAGAGTTGTAATGACATTGCATTTTTACACAAGACTCTTGCCTCAGAAGTACTCAAAATGGATGGTGTTTCAAATAATGAGCAGCTATTCAATATTTTGCATTCTTCTTGTTTAATGTGTGGACCTGGTCCTTATGTATTGCATACTGTTCAAGCCCTGCTGTGAAGACAGAACTATTAATTTCCTCATGGGCTGTCTA